TGGGGGGGGGGGCAAAACAAGGATTTCGGCGCTACATCGCAGACGGACTTAACCGGAAGTTTAGTTACTTCTGTGGCGCAGGCTGCCCAAGGACTAAGTCAAAAAAGGTGCCTCCTCTAATACAGTTTTCAGATAAAGTGCATGGAATCCCTTTTATAAGCCGACAGAAGCGTTTGGTCAATGACTAAGCGACGTTAAGGTAAAATGCTTACGGTGACTGGATTCACCCAGTCGTTGGGGGTGGGTCTCTTCAAGAGTCTTTCAAAATCGCTGTAAGTACTTAAATGGCAGTTTAACCCGTTCGCCCCCGGAAAACCGTAAAACGCGTTTTGAAGCAAGTCGAGCCGTTTTCTGGTCATTGTCTGGCCATTAACCGCTAGAACTTAACACAAAGCCGTTTACAGGTCGTACACCTCGCGGACTTCTGATCCAGATGCAAAATACAGTCAAACCTCTTTTAAGCGGCCACCTCTCAATTTCCCGAAAGTTGCTTCCCACATTTAATGTAAATTTGACCTCTATTCAACGGTCACCTCTATTAAGCGGACGCGGTCACCGTTTGGATTTTCCACATGGCTAATTTCATTGTAATTTACCTTTGTTACACGGTCACCTTGTTACATAACAATGAATAAATGGCATATATTTTGACTCGAAGTACACACTACATCAAACAGAACCGACATTGTAATCTAGGTATTAAATACACGTCTCTCTCTTCATGTTCGTGTATGAGTTTTTAAGATTAATGATGCGCTTGGTCGTTCTACACGCAGGGAGAGAACTGCAACAAGTTGAAGCTTTTCCCGTGGGGATCGTGGGAGGGCCGCTTGTTTCTGCAGCTCCCGCGCAGGCTAACTACATCATATATCATCAAATACTGTACAGTGGAGCCACGATACAAGGAAGTGCCGAAGATTTGTTATATCGAGGAACTTTGTCATGTATTTTACTATTACTGGGGTAAACAAAATCGTTCCTTATAACAAGGACTTCGTGATATAGACGATCCACTGTATTTAGATAATCATTCCACGTAGATATAGGGCCAATGACTCAAAGCAATAATTTTGTGTTTGTTCCAAATCGACTTCCAAGTCTGTTCGCCAGACGACGTGAAACGAAGTACCCGTCCCTCCCCGCAAAAATCGGCCCCATTGATGGGGGAGTTTCGTCCCCCATTTTGTCTTTTTGCGGCATAACCAAAAGTATTTCTTGATTGGGCGTTGCCCTTAAGGGCAGCCCAATAATTAAGTATACGTATGTAGTATGTATGCATGTATTGCCTTCGCCGTTGTAGTTTCGTTTAGTCTCTGTTTAATTAGCAATTAATGAATGAGGCTGAGTAGGATATGAAGAATTAAGCAGATCGAGGCGGGTGTTATCTATCGAGGCCGAAGGCCGCGGTGGATAACACCCTCATCGATCTGCTTAATTCTTCATATCCTTCGAAAGCCGAATTCACTAATTGTTTTATTATTCATTCAAAATATTTCCTACTTTAAAAACATAGCTAAACATGCTTACCCGCATCGATGTTAAGTTCATCTTCGATAGTGTACGCCAGGTTTGTCCAGCTCCGCAAATATTCTGTCGCCCTCCGAGTTGTCTTCTTGCTGTTTTTGCCATGTTTTTAGTTATTATTTCGCCTAGTTCCAGCTGTAGTTCTTACTCTTGAAACGACTGAAATGTCCGCCATTTTTTTTCACAACCAAAACAATTCAACCTTGACCCCAGGTCTTCTCGGCAACGGTGCCTTAACCTGTAGAAGGCTGCATTTTTGGCGTCATTTCCTCGTTAAACACAAAATTCTTCCAAATTTGGTCACCAGTAACTGGTTATGGCGAATTACGCGTGTGCTTTTAGAATTGGGGAAATATATTGAATGAATAATAACGAGTGTTAAAGGGCCCACCCCTCCACAGTCAGTTATGCTTAGTGACCAGGTGGCGGTCTCTGAAAATAAGTAATCAAGTATGGTATCACTACGCAGTTTAACGTGTACCCCTGAACTAGTTTTATTAAAGTCTGCAAGTAGAATGATTTTCCTTTCAACTTAGACTCTTTCACAGCCGTTATTAGGGTCGTTACGCAACGCTCTTTTCGTGGAGAGGAGCGTTGCGTGACGACCCTAACAACGGATTGGGGGCTGACTACTTCTAACTTTGTTACATCAACATGATGTGCGGTGTGCAAGTCAAAACAAAGAGACCAAAAATCTGTGGCATCCGTACGTTTCCCCATTCAACCGCCAACAAGAAACCCTATTTGAGTAAAAAATACTTCCGACCAGGCCATACAACACGTTCCAGGATTTAAAAACAGAAAAAACAAAACGTGCACGCTATTACTTCAACAGAAACCATTAAAATTCTCCAAACTAATCTCGTTACATTTCCTTAAAGAATTCGTTGAGAGAATCTGACAAAAGGTCGACGCATTTGTACCTTTGGTGATCATAACCATCATTCTCACAACCTTTATCTTGACTATGTGTTCAGAAAACTGATGTTGGTCACCCTTGGAATTAAAGGGGTTAGAGAAATTACACTCCAAGGTTTCCAAACGCTACAGGATATCACTTCTTTTTCTTACATTCAAACAATTCTCTTGAAATCTACACCTGTTGACACATTAGAGAGATTAAGCATCGCGTTTACGGCAAACGGCAAACGGCAAACGTGAGATTCAAGTTCAGAAAATTTCAAAATGAGAAATGAGCAGATAAAAACAGCTTAAAACAATTGTTGTGGATAGAATTAGCGTAAATCTACCGATTTTCGTGGAGTTATAATGAACAGTAAACGACAAGTAAATGGATAACTTGGTCACGGGGTTCAAATTCACGTTCGCCGTTTGCCGTAAAACGCGATGCTTAATCTCTCAAATGACACCATTTCAGCAAAACCAGGTCTGCAAGAAAGTCACAGAAGTTAGTTAAGGTTATGTCTGCCCTACAATCACTTCTTATTCGCCACTTTGGTAAGGAAACTGGGACGAGTTAACTTTCGCAATGACTTCTGGGATTGTTACTAGGGGCGTGTCCTCAGTAACAATCCCAGAAACAATTGCGGGCTAAACTTCGGCTCCAGTCCTCCTAAAGCACTGTTGAATGAGGAAACGAACGCGGAGCTCCGTTATGTGGAATTGAAGACATGGCGAAGCGACATCCCCCTTGTGAGTCCATTTGCATGATTGTTATCATTTTGCAGTAGAAACATTACAGTTTTGGTCTTTTCACGTAGTGCCATCTATCAACTGTTGAAAAAAAAAAGACAACGATAATTACCACTTAGGATTGACAAAAAGGTAACCAGACAAGTCATCCAAAAGTCGTCTCGCCCCAAGTAACTTCCCCCAAACCTTGTAGTTATTTCGCCCAAAATTTGGCTTACGTTATCGTGAAGAGGCACTAGCCTGGAGAAGCAAAGACTGCTGCATATATCCAAGTGAAAAAACAGCTAAAATTAATTTGGGGCGAAAAGATTTTTAGGCTTCTTCTTAGTATTCAAAACAAAACTTTTAAAACAGCATATCTAGTGTTTCGTGTGACCTGGGACTAATAAAATACAATCAGCGACAAAATTGTCGAGACTGTCGTCAATTGGGGCCTAGAGTACTGTTTTTGGGTTAAAATAAGGGCCAGACCGCTCTCCCAACTCTTCTATTCAAAGTTGGGTTGTTTGTTGTTTTTGAAGATAATTTTGAACAGCGAAACAACACTGTTTAGCGGGGGTGGGAGGAAAAGCTTGCCTTTTCTATGTTGAAATAAATATAGCCTGTGAACAGGCTCTCTGTTTGGGGAAAAAAATAGCTTTTCCCTCTCCCCACCAAAGGCCTGTTCACAGGCTAAAATATATAGTGTTGGGAAAGGTGAGAAATGTCATTGAAGGCAGTGTCTCATGGATTAATTTAGCCACTGATAGTAGGGGCATGTGAAAAACACTTTACTTGCTGCTATATAGGTTCATTCTCACATAAACTTCAGGGGCGGATCCAGGATTTTTCTAAGGAAGGGGTGCATCACTGTGCAATGGCGTAACTGACTGGTGACGCAAACAAATTTTAATACAGAATGCCAGTTGTATTAGCTTAAATCATAGACACAGTCTTAGAAAAGCCATCTTTCAGTGGCTGTTATACTCTGCTTGATTGGGGCTTTAAGTGCTTACCTTCTAGAGCTGGATCAATAGGCTGCGCTTCAGCTTGAGGGGGAACCTGAAAAACGCATAAAAGAAGCATTTTTGAGCTTGAGTAACAGAGGCAAGAAGAAAAGGCGGCAAAACGTCTGTGTTTGACGAACGTGACAGGCCCATTATTTTCGAGTTTTGTCAAGACTTTCACTTAACATTACGGTGTTCTGGTCATTTACAAAAAGATCTCTCTAAAGGAAGGTGAAGTTTGGCGGAATATTATTTTTCACTAAAATTATTGTCACGCTCGCAACACAAGCTAAATTACGGTTTGCCGTCTTCTTTCCTCTGCCGTCTTGTTTAAGTTCACTGTAATTTGGAGACGATGGAAACTCTAAAGGGATGGAGCCCAGGGCCTGCTTAACTGAAGCAACTTAAAAGTAAGTGCCAATTTTCTTTGATCCAGAGGGATTTCTTGCAAGAAATCACAGATGTCTTGGTCAAAGAGGTTCTTGACAAGTATAAGAGACGCAAAGAGAACAGGAAAAAATTCTTGGGAACACATAGAAACAACACACAATCCTTCCCTCCGCGTCCCATACTTCAACTTGAGTTGCTTTGTGCAACTGGGTTCTAGCTAATAGAAGTCAACGTTCGTATCTCCTTTCCACTGGCCTACAGATCAGGTGTTAGTTGTTTTGCGTTTTACAGGCCAGCGAAGGGGGGTGAGAAGGGACCGTGGAGTGCGAGTTATTTTCCCCACGCCTTCCCCCGTCCTGCGCGTCTTGCACTCTATGCCCGCTTTGTGCTTCGTTTGCTCAAAAAATGCGAAAAATAGCACCTGTTCTGCATGCTACCTTTTCACAGTCAAAACAGGCCACAACTTACATGGTTTACAATACCATCTGCTTCTTCTGTGGACATTTTGTACGGTGAACTATCTACTGAGACATTTTTGCTGATGAAAAAGAAGGAAGAAATGGGTTAGTAACATTACTTAGCAGACTGAATTTTTATGAGTACTCCCACCGAAGCTCAATGCAGCACTGAGTTTACCCAGGGGTGAATGCATTCATTAACATTTTCTTAATTCAAAATGGCTGTGTCAGAAGGTGTTACAGTAGAACCTCGGTAACTCGAACTCTGAAGGGAAACAAAATACAGTTCAGGTTGGCGGGGGTTCGAGTTATCGGGATCGACTGAACATTCAATTTGTCACCTTAATAATTGATAAACATAGATTTTTCAGCATTTCAGTGTTAACTACAACACAAATTTAACTTATTTCATCACATGCGGTAAGATGATTAATATGCATTGTCAGGATAAAACATTATCTGTTTGTTGCACCAATTAAAATCAAATTACTGAAGTGTTAGTTCAGTGTGTTTTTACCAACAAAAAAACAACAAGAAGAGGTAATAGAAAGATATCCAAGTGGAGATACAAGAACCAGATTTGAGTTATCAGGGTAAATTTCAGTAAAATTTCTTGTTAGCAAGGAATTCGAGTATGACTGAAAAGTGAGTTGAATTCCAAGTGAAATGTGACTTAATTCGAGTTAGCGGGCGAGTTCAAGTTATCCAATCTGGAGTTTCCAGGGTTCTACTGTATAGATCTTGGCTACACCTAGGTCCCCATTATTCTTTATAACATTCTCAGCCTCAATTTTTTAATTATTAAAAAATTTATATTGTTAATATTATTTCCCACTGGCCACTAGCAACTGTTTTGGTCACAGATGATGATCTTAACTGAAGGTGGATAAAATAGTATTAAAAGTTTCTTACCAGGCTAAACCCTTGTCATTTTCCACTTTCTTTAAAATGAGATTTTTCCAACACTCATGTGTTTCATTGATGATCCTCATCGCAAATTCCTGGAATATTAAGATAAGAAAAAATATATCATATACTCAAAACCCACCATGGAATCAGCAGGTTCTACTTTTCAGGTATTCTACTCAGGGCTCAAAATAATGGCCACGGTCAAATGATGATGTCCGGCCAGAATGGAGTCTTGACCGGTTAAACCGGTCATGTTCACTGGTCATGCACCCTGTATTTTTGAACAATCAGCCAAATCCTTACCTGTAAATCTTATATTTTGTCTCTTGGTAAAAATAAAATCACATTCACTAACAGAAAATCACATGAGGATAAGGATTAGTTCACTTTTTTCCAATCATTTGACCCATCAGAAAACAAGATACTGAAGGAGCAAAAATTTCTTGGCTCAGCTGGTCATTGTGTCTGGCCACGGCCTAAAAATTATTTTGAGCACCCCTGCTATTGGCAGAAAGTCTGCTGTAAAGGCAATGATATTATCTGCTCTAAAAAGGGAAGAGCTGTGAAGATTAAAGAGGTAGTTCACTGCATTTGTTGAACAAGAATACAATCCATTCTTCATATAGATTGGAACAAGATTGTATGGAATGACCATCGCTCACAGAATGGATCTTGGGATAGGTACAGTACATCTGACATTCTTGGAGATTTTGCAGGGGTGAATAACATCACCACCAACTTGACAGAAGAGACAGAAACTGGCATCAGGATTAGCTTGCATAGAGGTGTGCCCTGTTCTTTCTCGGTGCCCATTACTTTCAAGCGTCTCCAATGCAGGGTACATCAAGACTGAGGAACAACACTCATTAATCTTACAATGTATCTATTCCATACCTTGTTTTTGGCTTCATCATTAAAGGCAAATTCATTTTCTTTACTGCCAGCAGGTATTTTGTAGATCTTGAACCAGTCAATAGAAGCCTGCAAAACACATTATCACCGTCACTTCCATGATCAAAGCACCCTACAATCATTTAATATCACAAAATTACCTTTAACAGTCCTGGCATGTGTTTCTCGATGTCATCAATGTCTAAAAAACAACAACAACAAGAAATCTTCAGTATCATCAAAACAAAAACAAAATGAGTAATACAAAAAGGCATGACTTATGCTAATGGTAAATTCAGTCGATCACAAAGAAGCTTCAGAGCAGTCGTAAATTCTTTCAAATTTTTTGCAAGAGTTCAATAGCACCATGTTGCAGCCAGTTTAGGTGAAATCAACTACAGTCAAACCTGCCTTACAGACACCTGCTTAATATGGACACCTCACTATTACGGACAGTTTGCTTTGTCCCTGGTGATCAAAAGAAAGCCCTCACATTTTTTCTAAATTCAACCTGCTTGTCACAGACACCCTGTCATATGGTCATTTTCTATGGCCCCCTCCGTGTCTTTGCTAACAGGGTTTGACTGTACAATGACCATTTGGGGACAGGGTGGGAGGGGAGGGGGGTTAGTGTGAAAACCATTGTTTTGAAGAGATATAAAAGATCAGTTACAATATAAAAGAAGTCTTGTATTACAAGGTGGCAAAGTGAAAGTATTTTGTCTTAGACAGGGGTATTTTTCGGACTGATTGGGGAGTTGACCAGTTATTAAACCTATCATTTAGCCAGACTTCAAGTTGACCGGTCACATTCGATCATATTGAAAATGAAATGAATTAAAATTTCCATCCAGTTCAGTTGTTTCAGTTCTTGTCAGTATGTAGCGAGTCACTGTTTATTGCAGAACTTTCATCTGAAATCCTGGGTGAAATGCAACTAGAAATGTTATTTACAATTCACGCATTGAAACAGACATCGCGTTCACACACTTCCAACCACAAAATTAAAATATTGTCACTTTGATTAGTTAATTTTCTCTATGAATACAAAGTTTCTTCCCTTGTTATAGGGAGTAACATAGATAATTAATTTAAGGATCAAGATCTCATACTGTGATACATACATTAGAAATCATTATTATTTGCAGGCGTCGGACAAATTTAATGTGTACAAAAATTTATTTCAAATTTATTGTTGACAATGAGTGCTTTAAAGTGCTATAAGCTCCAAGTAATAACTTTTTTGGAAACATATAACGCCAGTTTTGGTTCATGGGCCCCTGTTTTGAGAGTTATTCATCTTATATATTTGACCAACCGGAAAAGATATGAGACAGAGCTAAAATGAATTTGGCCAGTCATCGCGTCTGGAGACTCTGGAAATTATTTAGAGCCCTGGAATTAGTTTCCTCAATAGTGACAGTACATAATAGCAGGATCTTATTTCAGTCAAACATCTGTAAATTATTTTTCCCTGGGATTTAGCTGTGGCCACATTATCGGGGTCCATATTGGGGTATATATTATGTGAAGGGTATAACAAGTCCAAGCTTCAGGTTAGAAATAATTCTTTATAGCTCACAGTTATAGGCTAGATGTGAGTTTAATGATGTAAAATGCTTTACCTTCCATTTCCTTTGCCAGAGGATCATTTACATCAATGCAAAAGACTTTCCAGTCTGTTTCACCTTCATCAATCAAAGCGATAGTCCCTAAAATTTTCACTTGCTTAACATCACCTCGTTTGGCAATCTAAACATTTGAGAAAAGTAAACACGTTTTATTTTATTAAATCATTCACAACTCAACTGCCTGTGATTGCCTGTTCCAAATCATGCCCCTTGTATCACAAAAGACAGTGTTTTTTTTAAACTTTTGACTGCATGGGACAAGTTAGGGAAAATTTGGCTGAAAAGAACCCCTTGAAAAAAGGAAAGTTGCCCAGTTTGAAAGTGATTTGTTGAAAGCTAATGGAGATATATGCATAGCTTTGGGAAGTCATGATATCTACAGATGTTTGTATGGTGGGGGCAAGTTGTGTCCCCTACCATACAAACATACACATTCATCAATGTTCTTGGTTCATTTGCAAAAAAAGTTGGGAATCTTTTGTTTTCAAAAAAACATTGTTATTGGATAATCATTTTCTAAGTGCCCCGGTTTGAGTAGTTGCACTCAGTAATAAACTAGCCAACAGGAAAGGGACATTTTTCAGGCGAGCGAAGGGAAGCATAATGTGGATGTGGAGTGCGAGACAGGCGTTTTGGCAGAAGGCACAAGTGTCTAGCACTCCATGCCTGCCTCATGCATGGCTTTGCTTGCCTGAAAAGTGAAAATAAATAAATTAATAAAAATAATAAATAAATAAATAAATAAATATATTTAATTAACTATAGATTTTTAATGATCAACTAACCATGGTACCAATCTCACAAGCATCAATTGGATCATTATCACCCATGCATTTTGTGTCTTTATCCTTGTGGTTTGGATCTTCCCATGTCTGAAATTGACAGATAAAAATAAACAATGAGGGGTCAATTTATCATAAAACTTTTTCAGAGCTTAGTGTAATTTACAAGTGTAGCTATTTGTCTTAAAGTCTGAAAACAATAGCTACACTTGTGAATTGAACTTGTAAAAGCTTTAATAAAATAAAATTGGCCCTAGAAAAAAAAATTTCACTAAATATTATCAAACGAGTTTGTGGATTAAATCCCTGATTGACTCTTCACGTGAGGTGGCCTCATAATTTACCAACATTTCATAATAATTATTTTTCAAATCCTATCAGAAGGCATTATATATCTCAACTTTTTTACCGGGATACTCTGCTTCTCAAGTTGGCGAGAACCCTGGAAATGAGGTTCACTACATCTTTCATAAAATCTGTCTTTAATTTATTTGCTATGCAGATCCAATGAACAGCAAGATTTATCTGTGATAGAAGGTCTAGCCCTTTTAATCATTATATTTTGTCACCTGAGGGAGAGCACCATAATTCCAAATGTAACCATGGTAAGGGAAGCAGTTGTGCACATATCGTAGTTTTTCCTTCTTACAATCTTGCTTGATGGGATTAAGTGCTTCTTTGGTAGCTATCTGCATCAAAAATAATACAACAAAATCCAATGTAAGGCTTTGACAGGGAAAGTTTTGGTGTTTTGGATGACTGGTACTGCTTTTGGGAGGTAGTCATGTAAAAGAGGAAATGTTGCACATGAGGTTTCGACTTTAATATAAAATCACTACAGGGCTGTCACTAAGATTTCAAGTTACCAGGTTTCAAATACAATAAGTAGGCAGGGAATTAAAAAGCTAGGGATTTCTTTTGCTTCTATTTTTCTTTTATTTTCCTCTGAAAATTTCATATCCAGGGGCCACATTCATATCAGGAAATCCCCAGTCCCTTGCTTAAAGGTAAAGGTAATATTTCATATTGATAACTCGTGACAGTAATAATAAACTGATAAACTTGAGGTCGACAGTGCATTCATTTACCCCCGCCCCATCCATCAATGCTCCGTTTTAAGGGTATTTCAAGCCAAAGCTACACAGAAAGGAGAGAAGTTGAAACAAGGATGTTATGTCACCAGAGATTGAACTCCGGACCTTGCGCACCAAAGGCCATGCACTAACCAACTGTGCCACCCTTGCTGCTAATGACAGCCCCGATATTCAGTGACAAATGATGGACTTGACAGAGATTAATTGCGTTTGACGTTAGGAGAATGCAACACATAATCTTGGAATTCCTGTGGTATTCCTCAAGGGTGACCTTTCGTTGACCTCATTTCGTCATACGTCTGCATTTTCTGCACCATCTTGAATAAGAAATTTATCTTGTGGAGACAAAGATGTTAAATTTGACATCCAGTCTTTAGCAATGGTTGCGTGGTGCAAGAGATAATGAGTTCTCTTTCCACGTCAAAGGTCTCAGGTTCGACTCCTGCTGGGTGAGACTTTTTTCTTTTTTTTGCAGTCGTATTGTTTTGTTTTGTTTCTTTGTTAAAAACAAACATTTAGGAAGCGTTTAGCAGCGTCAATTTATTAGGAAATAATGTCACATTTGACAGTAAACCTAAGAAAGCTCAAACACACTTCCTAATCTGAGATTACTACTAGTTTAACACATACAGTGGGTATACATGTAGCTTTCATGAATACATGTATTATGTTATTAAAAAGTAAAGAAGGTAAAACAGAAATGTGTAAAGTGATCAGAACTACAATGAGCGAATACAACAAGGGGTTATTCCAGAAAAAAATCCACACTCCCACGACAGAAACTCAATGTAGAAGAATCCTTTTAGGCACTTAGATGATCTTTTTATTAAATAAGTCTCAATTTTCCATGAATTCTGTGTTTATTGTGAACGTTAAGATTCCATTTTCACATCTTCTTAAACAGGCATACACTTTTTGCAAATAAGATCATATCTGAGTGAACTTCTCTTTTTTTCTAGAACAGGCAAAATATACAGCAATATATACTACAATAAAGCTCAAAACTATGTCCTCGAATAAATGATTCTCTTCTTATATTCATAACCACAAAAGAAAGAAAAAGAACACTTAGCGGGATATTACATGATGCGCTGTACCACTTGCCACAACACTTGCCTTTCAAAATAGCTGCCAAACAATCACGAACAACCATGCTTACAAAATGTACTTGCAACGCCTGTTTAGGGGTAAATCACCCTGAAATAGCATTAACCTTGGAAAAATGTATAATTCAAGGTAAAATCATTGTTTGCTTTACTTGAACTGAGCTCTTCTTTATGAATTATGCGGTTTTTCTTGATATCTTCAAATTACCCCACATGGCTAGTCTACAAAAGTAACAAGGGCGAGCCTATGGATCGAAACTTAAAATAAATAATGTGGTAAGAGGTCAGTAGTTTGAAAGAATAATAAAATTTGAAAAGGCAAAGCAATTTTTTTAAAACTTATTGATTGAAGCGATTGAAACATCGATGAAATTGAAAGTTAATGTTACTCCTGAGGATGTATTTTTTAGGTTCAGAGCCCCCCTCCCGTCTGGATTTCCAGAGCTATTAACCCCCACTCCCGTGAGATTTTCCAGCATGCCTTCGGTCGTGGGGGTGTGGATTTTTTTCTGGAATAACCCAATATTACTTTTATGACGTATCCAGGACAGAAACTAACCGCTTCTTACTTCTCTCCTAGTACAAGGTACAAGTAGTGCTCACATCCAATCTCTGCCAGACTGGAACATGCAGCTGACCTTAATAATGTGCACATCATTGAGTTAAGAAGAATGAAAGATTGCTTATTATGTCAAGTTGACATTAGAATGAAAACAGAAGGTTGACACACCTCCATCTTGGCATTAGTCCACCGGGGGACCTCCACAACCATGTTGCAAACTGTTTTCTAGAAAACAAATCAATCAACAGTAAATTTAGTGAATGCAAAAATTTTCTGTGGTACAAGACAGACAGATGAAGGGATGTCTTTAAAAAAAGCTCCAAGTTAATGTCTTTTAATCAAATACTAGACTCTCCTTTCGCATAAAGATGATACTGGTACAACATTTAGCTTCCTTTTTATATTCCCTTGGGTATGTAGACAAAATTCTGTGTGTTACCATTCAAGCAAAACCTCTTAAGCAATACTTCCATATACACTTATACTATTTCTTTAGTACGCAATTCTCACCGTTGCACAATGACAGTGTCCTACAGAGTGTATAGCATGACCACTAAAGTGAAACCTTTTCAGTAAGTGTACGTGCGACAACTTAATTACAATAGTATGACTTGTATCTCTAAAATTAATGCTATTGTGAGTGTGGAAGAAATGCATGTGTAACCAAACAAAATCAACAGTATACCTTCAGATCATTGGTGCTACTTACTATGTACATACTTCTAACTTTTGAGTGTGTAAGAAAAACACGGTGTGGCCATTCAAATGAAACTTATTCAGCCGTACTTTCACACGGTACTAATTAATTATTTAATATGTAGTTCTAACTACTAAGTCTGTGGATGAAATCCTGAGGTGTTAATGTTACAATTCAAATGAAACCTTAATTCTGCAGTTATAGCTTTCACATGGTACCATTAATTTTAGTATATACTTCTACCTCAACCAAGCAAGGGTTTCAATAATAATTGAAATAGCCAGTAGGTTTGAATAGAGTAATAGACTTATATCAACAAAGTTTTGTTACAAGTTCTCCATTTTGAGTGTTTAGTGAGGTGAGCTGCAACAATACCACATGGGGTGGAGAATTCCATTTGCACCCGATCACTTCTCACAGTATTCCAGGGATGTAGCTCTTAGGAAAAGCTAAGCAGGTTTTTCATTAGTCAAGCTGGCTTTTTCACTTTACTGCACCTGCCAAATTTCCCTATCTTTTTTATCAGAGCTATTTGGGTGGTGTTAAGGTCTTTCTCAGCTGGTGAAAGTACAGTCGGCAGCCATACATGTAGCTGATAATTATTCCGTTAATGGGGGAGCTTGCATGCAGGCTATTCAATAATAAACAGTATTTGACTCACCTCATCATTTGCAAACAATGAAATGTCATGAAAAGGAGAGACAGCATGTCCTTCTTTATCACCTGACAAAGGGAAGATTACATTATCATTACAGGGTTTGGATACACCAGATACTAAATTAATGTACTAAATCACCAGAGACTGAATTTAAGTTCACAATAAAATAATATATTATTAATATTTTGAACTGCTGCTTGGTTACTCACACAAAGAATAGGGGGTAGAAAACAGTCAACATTTTGCAATGCCACCATGCTGGTTTCCCGGCATAATGATGCCAGAGAAACGATTGCAGAAATTCCATACCTATGATGTGTTACTGTCCGGATCTGGGTTGTAGATCTGAAGCAAATTTTCAACCAATCAGAAGTACTACCCAGATCTGGGAAGTGAGATATCATCAGTATGGAATTTCTACACTCATTTGTCAGATGTTATTTCGTGTGGAAACCAGTAGTGGTGTTGCTAAAATTATGTCGGCTGTTTTCTCAGGCTAAATTCCCAACTGATTAAAAGTTCTAGTCATTTTCCGACCATCCTCTTGGTTCAGGATCAAGAGTTTTTTCTTTCAGCCCTCTAATGTGTTTGGAAAATAATGACAAAATGTCGAGACATTTTGAGGCTTCTGTCTTGTCATCATCGGTGGTAGGTTAGGCATGGTTATGCAGGTTAGATACATTAAATTTTTAAAACAAGGGACACATTTGTACCCAGGCAAGCAGCTGGAGAAAAACATACACCATCAAATAAAATTGAAATCTGTTTTCAGTTAATGGGGATGGATGCTGTTGCTGAAAAATGATGGCCGCCCAGTGGTTGGTGATTGTTTTTGGAAGTGGGGCAAAAAATTGTGACTGGTAATGGTCTTGACATTCTGTCACACCAGCAACTGTTACACATATGATGAATTTTGTTTTACCATATTTGGCTGAGCACAAAGTCTAAGTTTCATTGTACCTTACACAAAGTAATGAAGATACAGTGCATGCATGGACTTGTATAATGTAAGAGGTACCAGTTTCCCAGCATTTAGTATACATGTTGCAAACATATTAAGGCTGTATTATAGATCAAGAGGTGTTACACAGTCAAATTAATGTTTTTGTTCTTGTAGCTGACCATGTGAATGAAAATTCGGGCAAATGCGACAGTACATGTCACAAATGAATCCACCCTAAAATTGCTGTGACACTTTTAGGCCACTATAATTTTCCCTTCTCTGTAACGTGAAAAAACCCTTTCAGTTAATTTACTTTTTAAAAATTCATGACATAGTGTCAATCTTGTCCACCTCAAAACTGACGAATTTCAACTACCTTTTCCCCTATTCCTGTTCATCTCACATACTTGGGATGATTCTTTGTCCTTTTTTTATATTAAGAGACGCAAGTCGCCCGAAGTTTACTGCTCTAGACGAAAGCAAATGAAGCATGATCCCGCAAGTTCCAGGGTAAGCGAGTCACGTCGATATGCGATGCAATTAGATCACCTTTCTTTTAAAAGTTCTGAGAAGCGTATTCATCAAATTTCGACATCAAATTTCTTTAACAGTAAGTCAAACATTCAATTTGCAAAGGGCAAAAAGTCTACAAATATAACAAATTTTCATCGATCAACTACTATTCATTCACCATATCTGGCCACTGGGGAAAGCAGCTCGAGATTTACACTCGACTACACACGATCGAAAATAGTTATACTTACGGAAATACATTCGGTAATCGAGGGAGTTAGGAGCTCCACTTTCAGAGGTAGAATAATCTAGTGATCGTTTCATAATGGACGAAAAATAGAGTGCTCTTTTTGCTTGAAAAAGGCTGCAAGTACGCACGCTACGACGTGTTAGGGATGAAAGACGAAGAAGAAAGATCGCTGCTTTGAAATGGGCCATTTCCCAAAAGGAGATTAGATATAACACGAGCTCCTATTGGTTCACAGAGATATAAGCGACGATGCAATTGGTTAGTCTGGATCGTTCCAGTCGATTCGCTACAATTTCTAGGAAACGTACATCAGTGTAGTCATGCACGCTGCAGCTCTCATGGTCCTCATAATGCGGAAAATTTCCCGGAATTTGCGGACGCAAAGGATACTAAAACCACTCGAGAATGTGATGATGCTTCAGAAGTTCATTGACCTCTTTCGCTTTCCTGCTCAGTGTAAAGAATGCGGTAGTTAGGTTTGAAACCCTTACGTGACTGACAAGGCGTGACCTCGTTCATTTCTTCTATAAAACAGGCACGGGCAGCTCAGGCGGAATATTGGACATCAGTATTAACGTGAGATATCGGACTCTTTTTTGCTTTCGTTTGTCACGTTTCAGGGTATGGTAAATAAAATTACGGCGGGCAAATCGAAATAAAGAGCTTGAACATGTAAGAGAGCCGCTAAACTAGGGCCCAAAGAAGAAGAAGAAAAAAATAAACTTCAACAGGTAATGATTCTGGCCTGTGAATGAAATAAAGCAAATACCGTAAATCCTCTATTAAGCTCCCCCTCTCAAATAAGCCCCCTCCCTCTGATAAGTCCCCCCTTTTTGGGGAAGAAAGTTAATAAGACCCCCCTCTCTATTAAGCCCCCGCTTCCCACCCCTAATTATTCTTTACTAATAAATGATAGACTGTATTAGTCAATCACGACCGTAAAACTTCGTGTGGACTAATCCGGGATGGTTTATTTACCAGTTGGAAAGTCGGATTTGATTTTGCTCCATGACCTTAAACTTCTTGTATTTGAGCTTTTCCACTTTGTATTCTAGTTTTTTTTTTTTTTTATGGAAAACTGATACCATCGTCGTTTCTAAATTAACTAAGCTCCCGGCCCCCTCTCAAATAAGCCCCCCCTCAAATGGGCTTGAAATAAACATGCCCCCCGGAGGAGGCTTTATAGTGTATTTACGGTAAGCTCATCTTTTCATTTCTTCAAAGTTTTCTGCGAGACCGAGACATTCTTTCCCAACAGCCATTTTAATATACAGTGAGATCAAACAGCACTTAAACATCAAGATGTTTCCTAAATATAAACTACTGTCAGGTGTGTTGAGAGAGGAGGGGTTGGGGAAAAAGAGTTATGTGGGAAGGGAGGGTCTTGACTAGCTAATGTAAGTTGAAGTATCAAGGGGGCCTTCCTTCAAACCACATTTCTTACCCTGTCTGGCTTTAATTCCTTGGAACACATAAACATTCCAGTGATATTTCTGGTGTTCACAGGTTTCTGATCGTGAGTTAACAGTCATAGGGTCAGGATACATATAACACCTTTGTGGTTATATGCACATGATGGCAGTCATTGGATCAAACAATAGCAGAGAATTACAGTTAAGCCCCAGTTGTTCAAAAGGTGGATAACGCTATCCACCGATAAATCTCTATCCAACGGATAGTGCAATATTATTGGTTTACCTAATACTTATCCTCTGGAAAGTGATCTATCAGGTGGATAGTGCTATCCAGCTTTTGAACAACTTGGGCCATGACATTTTTATTGTGTTTTAACAAGCAAACGTCACATGAAGCACATAATTTAACCAATGCTCACAAAAATAAAGATTTTTAAAACAGCATTCAAAAAACTTCCACAAGACAGTCTGTAGAAAGAAAATGTTTCAATACCTTGACAATTAATATTCAGTTTACAGTGACTGTATGGGATAAAGATTATTAAATCAATCACTTTTTAATAATAATATTATAACAGTACTATAAGAACTTTTAAAGGTGATGAAAACATTGTAAAAATGCTTAGGTAGGAATTCTAGCTAATTAACAAGCAGCGCATGTAAAAATAAACAGATCTCAGAAATTATACGGACCCAGTAAAAAATTCCAAGGATTTTGAATCTTTAGCAGAGGTAACTATGCTGGCTTGGAAATAGAAATTTTGAAATTTGTAGATAGCCACTTTAATACAATAACATAATAACAGGTACGGTATAAAAGCTTTTGATGTAATATTTTAGAGACATGCCCTTACTAAAAAGGGCTTCGAAAACTACACTTGTACCCCTTACTCCTTAGAAACACTACTATTACCAATCCATACGTGGATAATAATTATTAATGATTATTAATAAGATTATTAACTCAAAACAAAATTGATGGGGGTGGGCTTACCCCTGACAAAAATGACAAGAAAAAATTTTTCCTCTCAAGATGACAGTCAATATGTATATATGTATATATGTTTTAACATGAAAATATAGAGATATTAGAGATCTTAGCCCGACATGCCGTGCATGTTTTTCAGGTTTGACTCAACTTCTAAAAACTCTACCAGTTTTATTTCTTACCCCGGGGAATTCTAGCATTTTCCCTCTAAAATTTCTGCCCCATTTACTACAAGGATGTATGCATCCACCCATCTTAAAAAACATTTTTGCTCAACCAATCTCTAAGCCTTTCTGTATATTCTAAAAACCATTAGGGTAGAATCCTACAAGCCAAAAGGCCCTGAAACTTCAACTTCCAAGACATAAATAAGTGGCATAAGGCACAAGGATAGATTGAAACTGGGACAGAAAAGAAGATACGCGAACCTTCTATACTGACCGTGACAGGAATTCACATGGCTTTCTCCTCAAGATATGAAACAACAGGTTTTGAAGTTCAGACAAGGGACATGGTACCCCCTCTAGAGGGTCTTAAATCTACTTAGTAACCTTTGATGACCTTTTGCTAAGCTGGTAATGTAGCCCTTTTAGCAGGGAGGGGAGGGGGGGGTGTTCTTTCATGATGAATTGAGGAGGCCATCCCGCTGTAGAGATTGCCCTTGTTGTGGTCATAGTCTCAACCCCTCTTCAAGTCATTTGCCTGTGCCACTTGTCTGAATTTGAACCTAACAAGGCCTTGGTAAATTAAGCTTACCACATAATGTTACAGTTTATTCTTTCGCACAAAAATGTACTCTTGGAATTGAGTACCTGCTTCATCGGCATCACTTCCTCCACCATTACACCCTTCAAGAACAAAGCCATGCCCGTATAAAAGATCAAAGGCATCTGCCTTGGTCAATTCAGCACCCCCGGGTTTCCATGGGACGCGATAATCCCTAACATACCCCCGTGCGGGGAGCAACGTCAACACGAATTCCGAAGTCTTGATATACTCCTTAAAAACTTCTTTCACGAGATCTTCTCGGCCACTCAATAACAGCTAGTTTCGATACCGGTCCACGGAAACGATTATCGTGCCTTGGCCTTCACTTAGCTGTAAATTTCTTCTACGATCTTCGCGGAATATTTGGAGCGCTTCAATCAGGTCCTGGACTTGATAAAAATCAGCTTCCGCACTAAGCTGGTCAAATTCGTCGAACGATTGGGGCAGACAGAGCTCTGAAGTTCGCAAGAAGTTTAGAATGTGACGAAACATCGCTCCATCTCGATCAATAAAATAATTTCCGCGCGTATCCTTGGCTATTTGTTGTCTACCACTGAACATCGCGCCGAGCATAGAGTCAGGATCTCTAGCAATGGTGTCAATAGTTGTCGTGTACACGTAACCGCCGACGTTCACATTTATAATACGTGGAAAACCCTCTTCCATTGCAATATTACAACATCAGCATATCAAGTAGGAAGGCGAAATCGTACTTGTAAATTGTTCTAAAACCAGAGGTTCATTGATCGTGGCACTGTTGTGTTACTCCCGCCCCCCGGGGGGTACTTCCTTACATTTGCCTTATGGGTACGGAGGGTATGGTTTTTGCGCCGTTTTGGTCTAAAAACGGCTATAGACGTTGCCTATTTTGGTCTGAATTCAGGTACGGTTTTCGAGGGAATGCAAGAACGTATTTGCCGTTTCAATTCCAAATGAATAAGAAAGAAACTGAGTATAAATATGGGAATTCGAGAGGGATTTTAAACATCTCTTTGTTGGCGTTATCATAACTTAATTTCCGCCTACGCCAGGTCTGAAAACCTGTATGGATTTTAGAGGCCAGGCCCCGGTTGTTCAAACGTTGGATAGCGCTATCCAACGTTTGAACAACCAGGGCCAGGTCTGAAAACTGGTGTGGAAAATGACAATGTTTTGTTCTGAAATAGGGTCAGGATTTGAATAACCAGGCAGCACACACCGACTATGAATTCCCAGGAATACCCCCCGGGGTCTCGGCTTCACGCCGCGGTGTGTTGTCTGCGCGCGAAAAGCAGCTACTTTCCAGGGTGGAGAAAGAGCTTCACAGGGCGGTACGGTGGCCCAGAAGGGTCACACACCAGGAGCCCATCAAATCTGATGGGCTCCTGTCACACATGCAAATTAAAAATGTTGCTGCAAACTAAAAATTTTACCTGCAAATTAAAAATGTTGCTGCAAATTAAAAACAGGACATGGAAACTAAAAATTGTACGTGCAAACTAAAAATATTACCTACAAATTAAATATAGTGCATGCAAACTAAAAATTGTGCTGCAAATTGAAAATACTACAGTTCATGCGAACTAAAAATTCGAGGCAACGTAACAAATTCGTTGCCGGGAAAATTGTGGAAAATGTTATGGTTGATAATTGAAATTTCAATTTGCAGCAGCATTTTTAATTTGCATGTGTGACCCTTCTGGGCCACCGTAGGGCGGTCATTCAGGTGAGGGAGGGGGTAAGAATGCTCTGTATTATATATGTGCCGCCCAAAATTTGAAGAGTACGGTTTTTGTGTCGTTTGTGTCTGAAAATGAGTCACGTTATAGATTTTGTCCGTTATCGCCTAAGACTGGGTATGTGAATACGACTAACCAAGTTCAACTTTCAGAAGCAAGGTCAAAATTGAAGAAGTGTGGCTTTAGAAACGAGGTTTTTAATTGGTGCAACGGAAGTGGAAAGTGGACCAGAGAGAGAGACCCGTGGGGTTAGTTGTGTTCCATATATGACGTAACACTAGCACAGTTGAAACCACCGCTGGGCATTTTTTTTGTAAACAGACAACATGGCGGCTGTGGGCGTAAATGGGGTGTGACAAGAAAGAGACAATGAATCCAAACACTCGCTGCGTATCGTTCGTCGAAAACCTTCAGTTAGAAATTTCCGATAGCTTGTTCAATGAATCCATTTTGCTTGCTGATGTCGATAACGACGACGATTACGAGTTGGTGGTCGGTCAAATAAATGGCGACTTGTTGATCTTCAAAGGCAGTAGCCAAAAACCATGGCGAACTTGTCGAAAATTGGGAATGATAACGTGCGTTGGAGTGGGGGACTTATGGAATCAGGGTGAAAATTTACTTTTTTGTATCACTGCAGAGGGATGGTGTCATATGTTTTACGTAAGTTACAATGTTCAGCACGTAAAATCCTAATGGTGCGGTTGAAGTTATGCCTTCTAGACCGACATATCTCGGTCGATATATCGGCCGCGGATTGTCGGTCGATATGTCGACCGACATATCGTTCGAGTGTCGGTCGATATGTCGACCGGTGTATCGGTCGAGGGGTGCACAAATTACACATGATCCTTTAACTTGAGAACTTAATAATGATTATTTTATTTTACCCACCAGTTTTGTATAAAACTCGATCCCTTATGATTGCAGGGAGTGAGGAAAACCATTTACAAATGATATTTGTGTCTTCCGTGATAGGCGAATCTTTGCTGACGTCATTGTTTACATTTTTCCTCATTAGCATGTGACTTACTCATAGAAGCGTGTATATAAACTAAATGCAAAAAGTTGAACGAGCTGATTAAGCTGAGTAATTTGTGCAATTTTCAGCTCTTTACAAGCAATGTTGAAGGGAATATCAGCCGTCAAAAACTGCAATATTGCTGGGTGGCAAAAAAGTTAATGAGCCATACATTCTCTGTAAAAGTTGAAATTTTTCGGAGAGAATTTCTCCGAAACCATTTGGTGTATTGGGCTCAAATTTTCAGAGAACACTGGAACTGTTATGCCCTTTCAATATTCAGAGTTTTTGTTTTATTAGCGTCATCAGATAGTGAAAAGCATATGTTAATGAGGCAAAAAGTGTAAGCAAAGATTTGCCTGTAACACATGAAGTGAATTTCGCATGGTGGGCCTCTAGTGCTGGGTGTCCTGTGGTTTCATTTGGAATCTTTTTTGCATCTTTTGTCCTGGTTTTCAATTGCTGGGATAACCACGGATGATCAGGGATTTGTCTGTTTCCTGACCGTCCCAGACTTTGCTGACTAATACTAAACTGGAAACCATCAATATTGTTTGAGATGGGCAGAGAGACAAATAGGGAGAATTGGGAACATTTCTATTTTTCCGATGCAACCCAGGCCCCAGTTGTTCAAAAGTTGAATAGCATCTTCCACCAAATAGCATCCAGTGGATATTGGGAAAACCAATATAATTATTGTTATTGCACTATCCAGTGGATAAAGATTTATCACGTGGGTAGGGCTATCAACCTTTTTAACAACTGGGGCCAGATCTCTGCTATATAGTCATTCCCGACATATGAAAACTCAAATTTGTACTGTTGAGGATGCTGTGGATGGGTGCAACATTTTTGCTTGGGCCCAGTTCTTTAACTGCTTATCAGGACAGCTGACCTATCCTCTCAAACTTTATGGAATCAGGGTGAAAATTTACTTTTTTGTATCACTGCAGAGGGATGGTGTCATATGTTTTACGTAAGTTACAATGTTCAGCGCGTAAAATCCTAATGGTGCGGTTGAAGTTATGCCTTCTAGACCGACATATCTCGGTCGATATATCGGCCGCGGATTGTCGGTCGATATGTCGACCGACATATCGGTCGAGTGTCGGTCGATATGTCGACCGGTGTATCGGTCGAGGGGTGCACAAATTACACATGATCCTTTAACTTGAGACCTTAATAGTGATTACTTTATTTTACCCACCAGTTTTGTATAAAACTCGATCCCTTATGATTGCAGGAAGTGAGGAAAACCATTTACAAATGATATTTGTGTCTTCCGTGATAGGCGAATCTTTGCTGACGTCATTGTTTACATTTTTCCTCATTAGCATGCGACTTAACTCATAGAAGCGTATATATAAACTAAATGCAAACAGTTGAACGAGCTGATTAAGCTGAGTAATTTGTGCAATTTTCAGCTCTTTACGAGCAATGTTGAAGGGAATATCAGCTGTCAAAAACTGCAATATTGCTGGGTGGCAAAAAAGTTAATGAGCCATACATTCTCTGTAAAATTTCAAATTTTTCGGAGAGAATTTCTCCGAAACCATTTGGTGTATTGGGCTCAAATTTTCAGAGATCACTGAAACTGTTATGACCTTTCAATATTCAGAGTTTTTGTTTTATAAGTGTCATCAGATAGTGAAAAGCATATGTTAATGAGGCAAAAAGTGTAAGCAAAGATTTGCCTGTAACACATGAAGTGAACTTCGCATAGTGGGCCTCTAGTGCTGGGTGTCCTGTGGTTTCATTTGAAATCTTTTTTGCATCTTTTGTCCTGGTTTTCAATTGCTGGGATAACCACGGATGATCAGGGATTTGTCTGTTTCCCGACCGTCCCAGACTTTGCTGACTAATACTAAACTGGAAACCATCAATATCGTTTGAGATGGGCAGAGAGACAAATAGGGAGAATTAGGAGCATTTCTATTTTTCCGATGCGTCCCGGGCCCCAGTTGTTCAAAAGTTGAATAGCATCTTCCATCAAATAGAATCCAGCGGATATTGGGAAAACCAATATTATTGCACTATCCAGTGGATAGAGATTTATCACGTGGATAGCGCTATCCACCTTTTTAACAACTGGGGCCAGATCTCTGCTATATAGTCATTCCTGGCATATGAAAACTCAAATTTGTACTGTTGAGGATGCTGTGGATGGGTGCAACATTTTTGCTTGGGCCCAGTTCTTTAACTGCTTATCAGGACAGCTGACCTATCCTCTCAAACCTGTAAAGGCTGCACTAGTGAAATAGTCGCAGTCCGTTGGGTATTTTTTCAGAGTGACAGTGAGATGTAATTGTAGAAAGGCTTAACTGCAGGCTCAATGAAAATCCTGAAAACAAAATGACTTAAGAAGGGGGAACTTCCTGGTTTATACACACAGAACAGGCAGTGAGGTTTCATTTGAATGGTAACACCATAAGATTTTTGCAGACTCAAAAAGTTAGGATGAGTGTATTAGAACCTCACTTTACATATTTTAAGACTTTATCATTCACTCTGGGAGTTAATTAAAGGGCCAAATTGCAAAAATGATTTATTCAACAAGAAATATTAAATTTCATTAATTAACTGCCCAAAGACTTTTGTGTACTAAATACTGCACATAGCTGCCAAAAACATTATGCAGTGTTTTCAAGTGAGTATTTCTGACTTGTTTCAGCCTTCTCAATCATTTTCATCTTGGGCAATAAATATCCATAAGGTGGCGCTACACATATTTAATCTACCATGATTTGAGCTGCACTTATGTAGCCTTTAAACAGCTTCAGGTAGGCTCCCAACTGGAGCAGAGCAGAAAAGAAAAGCAGCGAGCGAAGCATGCCAAGTGTGGACTGGGGGAGATGAGAAGGCAGGGGAGCCTTTAGACTTTGCTTTGATGCTGCCCAATCCACCAACTTGCAATTATCCAGTATCACATATATGTCTATAACATGTCAAAAAGGTTTAAATATTACACCTGTCAAAGTATGGTGTTTTTTACCCTTGAATGCATTGGCTTCAATATCGTTCGCATGCACATGGGTATAAATTTTGCGGAAATGTGGAATGTAGCTAGCATTCAATATTCATGGCTCATTTGTCAACAGTCAGTGATCTGACCAATCAGATCATGACCAGACCTGTTTGCAGGCTACACTAATTATGTTTTGTTATGTGCAGATTACGACAAGTTCATCAGAGGACAGTCTAGAACCAGTCTCCTCTCAACTCCTTCCATCCAATTGTAAAGTAGTCCTACTAGCAGATGTTGATGGAGATGGCTCATTGAAGCTGATCACAGGGCATGCTGATAGAGTTGTCCATGTTCACAAGCTTCAGGCTGATCAAAACACTGAAGCTAGTGTCCAAGAAAAGCTATTAACAGGTACTTTTTCTGTCAATAATCTGTTTGGTGGATGCCTTTCAAAGTTAATTGGGACATTTCCCTTTTTCAGTTTCAACTTTGTTTTCTCTTTACTATCAACATGAGATGCCAAAAGTAAAGCTACTTTCCAAATTGTAAGGTGGGTGTGGTTCAGGACATTACACTTAGCCTTACATGAGGGAAGTTTGGGCTAAATTTCCAAGTGAGGGCACATCAAAAGTTGGGGTTGTCCTTCGTATACCGGGATCTGAAATATTTAATACAAATAACTATATCGATGTTAACTCAAGGAAATGAAAGGCAGTCATGCATTTCACTGATATTCTTAACATTTCCATACTAATAATTTGAGGGTCAGTGACTCACCATGAGAGGGGTGGGTCTAAAAGAAGTGTCATGAGAGAGGCTAAGTTCATGATAGTTCCAATTAAGTAATTATGTTCGTAATCATAACTATAACAAAATTGTCAAATCTGATTGGCTATCAACTGCCCTGATTCCAGTTTAATAGGACAGTCCCAGGACAGTACGCGTCATGCCTAATTAATTGGACAGTACGCGCCATCACGCGTGCGCTTAAATGGCCTTTTTTTTTCACTGCTAGCAAAAAAAAAATTTCGAATTTCTTGTGTTTTGATTTAAAAAATAGCCTATTATATCACAAATTTTGTTAAAGTTATGATTAATTGGTAACAGAACTTCGTGTCGTCCAATTCGGTCTGTAATCATACTCAAAATCGGACTCCCGCTAAGCTGTCGTCCGATTTTGTTAATCACTCGTATGATTACAGACCGAATTGGACTCCACTCAGTCCTGTTACCATTACTAATCTTTGTGTCGCAGAAACTGAAGAAGACAAAAAGAAGGTAAACAGTGCTACTCTAGCATCCTCTGCCTCTCAGTCAAGCAAGCAGGATGCACCAAAGGATAACACAAAAGAGAAAATGGAGAGGAAAAATTCCAAACAGGAAGAAAAAGTCAGTTTAGTAGATAATAAGAATGGAAAGGAACAAATCAGTTTAAAAGGAGGGTCAGAAAAACCTTGTGCGTTTGGATGGTCTTTTGTCAGCCTAAAGACCTGGACGGTTTCGTACCAGATAAATTCTCTAGTAGTGTTTGATGTTATGAAAACTAGATATTTACTTGCGTCACAGCCNNNNATCACTCGTATGATTACAGACCGAATTGGACTCCACTCAGTCCTGTTACCATTACTAATCTTTGTGTCGCAGAAACTGAAGAAGACAAAAAGAAGGTAAACAGTGCTACTCTAGCATCCTCTTCCTCTCAGTCAAGCAAGCAGGATGCACCAAAGGATAACACAAAAGAGAAAATGGAGAGGAAAAATTCCAAACAGGAAGAAAAAGTCAGTTTAGTAGGTAATAAGAATGGAAAGGAACAAATCAGTTTAAAAGGAGGGTCAGAAAAACCTTGTGCGTTTGGATGGTCTTTTGTCAGCCTAAAGACCTGGACGGTTTCGTACCAGATAAATTCTCTAGTAGTGTTTGATGTTATGAAAACTAGATATTTACTTGCATCACAGCCAGGAGGTACTTATGCCATTCTCATGTCGTCGGCCTTGAACCAACAAGAAGCGCCGGAAGAAAAGGTAATGGAAAACTGTTTTTTTACTATGATACTAATGAGCTGCCTTGACGCAGCTCAGTAGAAATCTCGTCGAAGCCTTCGCCATTTATAAATTTTGCAAACATTTACTGATATACTGATTGTATACTTATAAAGGAATTTCTGTTCGAATTGTCCTGCACTGAAAAATGACCAAAGTGCGCAGTAATTACCCAGAGGGTGTGGCATGGTTTCCAGCACCGCCGTTATTTACAGCTCATCTAGCGCAGGAGACCCAGGTGCTAGTCTGCACAGGTCTTGTGGCGGTTTCCTTAGGGAGGGGAGCACGAAAGAGCGGCGAGGTTTCTCATTGTTTCCACTCCATTGTTCTCTCGGCTTTGCCTCTTGCTTTCTGCTCCCCTCAGGGGCTACACGAAAACGGGCAAGGCGGGGTAGAGTGGGGTGCCGGACCCTAACATTAGCCATTTTGTGGTTGCGTCAGGAGCCCATAACCCGGATAAAGCAACTTCCATGTACTCGTTTCAAGGCGTTTTCACCAACCAGGTTATTTTTAAGAGCGATTTTGGCGCGAATTTAGAATATCTTTTAAGTCCCACAAATCAGTCAGTAAATCCCACTGACTTGAAAATGGTATCCTTGGTTGAACTGTTCATGACGTTTAATTTTCCCCAGCTTATCTTATACTTTGAATGCGCTCGATTTTGCGGGAAAAACTGGTCACCGTCTCATGCGTAAAGTTAACGTCAGAATTAAGACATACAGTGGTATCAGCTACCTTTTCTGGTAAATACAATAAGAATCAGTAGATTTATGTAACTATCGTGAAGTCTAACACAGCTCTGTAGTGAAAAAAAAGGTATCTAAAATAAACGTGTCCGTGAAAACGCCGGGACATAGTCTTAATATGGCAATTGCTCGCTCTAGGTTATGGGCTACTGGTTGTGTTTTAGACTGAGCCGGTGTTCAGGGCTGTTGAGTCGAATTGCACAATGGCTCAAACGTCCCCAGCAGCGAAGAACGAGGAGAAACAGATGCTTTCGCAGGCTACTCTGTTTTGGGTTACGCAGTTTGACCCAGATTCTTGTGCAACCCCGTAAGAGCAAAGAAAAAAGAACCAGAAAAGAAGCGATAGTGTTCTCAAAACTGTTCCAAAGTGCACTGATTCTGACACAACAACGAGCCGAGATCACTCGAAATGTAGAAAGTATCGGCTGAAACTGAGAAATCTGTTTATTCATTCAGTGACGCAGGTTACTTGGAAAAACAAAACCGAGTATTCTCAACAGGAGTGGGTCTAACCTACGACCTCCTCTGGTGGTTACTAAAAAAACGTTTGCAAACTGACCTAAAACAGGACGAGCAGGACGTTAGCGAAACGACTCGTCGGCGAAAGACCGTTAAACCCTCTAGTATTACTTATTATACAGTACCTCAGTACCCCTCTCACATTCACATTGCATTTTAACCTTCGTAACAGGCGTTTCCAATAAAACTTTCTCGACGAACTCGCGCGAAAACTCGCGCCATGGAAGGTAATTTAAGACAGACTTAGATTCTGGATCTCAGGCTGTGGATTCCGGATTACAGGTACTGGTTTCCAGTCTTTGTCAGTGGAACTTGGATTCTGAATTCCAAACGTTAGTAAGATTTCAAGCTGTATTAATTCCGGACTCCATAAGCAAAATTTTCCTGCATTCCGGATTCCAAAAACAAAAATTTCCTGGATTCCGGATTTTGGATTCCAATTCAGATTTCCTACATTGGACGACCGAAACGCTTGCTACGCAGGCTAACCGCATTTATTTTTGTATGAATTAGAGTGGTTTTCGTTTGAGTGTCGTAAAACCAAAACCAAAGTAATTACTCTGGCCAATCACATAGGACACAGACAATACATTGAACCAATCAAAACTCGAAGTAATTACATGTGGCTGACGCAAAGCGCGGGAAAATGCATGCGAGCGCGTCACAATTGGCTTTGGTTTTACTTCTGATTGGATGAAAAGGTGGCGCGAATCTTTTAAGCCAATCGCATCGTGTAGAAAGTGCAAAACCAATTACTTTTCGACACTCAAATGAAAACCGCTCTATGCTGTAGCTCGGCACTGACTTGCTTTGCTTGATTTTTGCGATTAGATTTCTTGCTCTCCCTCATCATCGATCTTGAACCAGTTACCTGTTCTTTGGGGACGAAACAAAGGCATCCCAACAAATCTAATCACTTTGAAATGCCACGACAGCGCAGGCACGGAATTGGCAAATTCAACTCTTGCTGATCAAGCTCCGAGTTACCTAGTTTTGTGTAACCAAGACGGTCAGTTGGTGTTCATGAGCGCAAACAAGAATCACAGCTGGTCCATGCGTGTAGACCAAGGTAACTACAAACTATTCGCGTTGTCGAAGCTTGACATTACCAAAGATGGCAACGAGGAAGTGGCCATTTGCTCCTGGGATGGTGTCACCTATTTTGTCGACTATCTCAGGAATGTCGTACAGTTTAAGTTTGGTGAAAATGTTTTGGCTTTCTGCGCGGGATATTATGCTTATAACGCTGGAAACAATCTCTCTGCGCTGGTGTATGTGACGTCGTTCAATCGTATCGTTGTTTATTGGAACGCACGCCTGTCCGCAATGGTTCCCGCTAGCAGTGGCATTAAGATGAAACGCAACACTTCAAAGGACAGAGAATCAAGAACTGCTGTTAGTACTGAAACAGCTGATAGCATCAACAGTAATCAGAACACGTAGTTAACTAGCTATATAAAAAGATGGGATAACGGGATCTTTAGGTAAAGAAAAGAAATAACGGGATTTATGATATTTTTAGGTTATTTAAGAACTGTACGATACTTCTACGAGGAAGGGATTAGGGAGGGTATTTTTATTTGTCCCATATCACTCAGTTGTCTTTGCTAAAGTGTATTCATTCTAAAGGGAAGTTTAGCGGGACCGTGAGTTTTTCAAAATGGCCGCGGTTTTAAAAGCTTAACTCTGTTCCTTTAAGTTGAAAATAAGATTAGCAAATTTGAAGAGGCCCACCCAGAATAGCGTTGCCATTTTCGGGTTAATAAGTTATACGTGCTGTATTTATTGTATTTATCGTTGAATAAAGTTGACTGCTGGAGTTGAAGTTGGAAGTGAGGGTCACGTGATCTAAATTCCACCTTTATTTATGCGTTTGATGAAATGAATGCCATGTTTTATTATACAGTATAATAAAGTTCAGCACTCGATTAGTTGAAAACGCGTTCTTTGTGAGAGTCTAAACACGGAGCTGAAAATTAGAAATGATTGCGTGGGGAATTTAACGGATTCTTCGTCATTAAACAAATAAAGAAGCCTTGACTGTCCTCTGTTCTGTTGTAAAGGACTTTTAGTAAGCGGCTAAAGCACTCAAGAAGTAGGGGAAAACACTCGACTACGTTTCCCCTTACCTAGCCTGTCTACAAACCCCCTCCTCCCCTCAGTAAAAATCGGAGAGGAGGCTTTTTACTGAGAGAGGGAGAGGGTGGGGGGTCTGTACACAGGCTACCCCTTGCCCTTCTTTCATGCTCAAGCCGCTTCCTGCGTGCTTTACAACGGCACAGAACACAGTTAAGGCTTCTTCATGTCTTAACTAAAAATATTTCCAACCTCAAAACCTGCTTGTCTCCCTGTAAAGGTTCCGTATTAAAAACATTTGCCTATTCGTATGCAGTGTCAGAATATGAAGGGATGTTTATTTAAGCGGATTATCTCGCTGCATATAGCAGTTGTCATTTGGCGTGTGCGTGCATTCCGATTTGCTTGGCTATTTTGTTTTTGCACAACGTCTGAATCTTCCGCCATTATATTTTTGCTGGTTCCATGCCTCGCGCCAGCCGACTTCAAAATTCAAAATGGCCGCTAAAGCTAAACAAATTCCACGCAACGATACAGTGAGGAAGCTTTATTTACTGCGCGGACACTCGAACCGGGACACTTGGAAGAAGACTGTCCAATCACAAAGTTTGCTGGAAACACACGAGCCGATAACTTTCATAATTTTGAGGGCTGTTTCCTGAGAGAGTATTCATGGTTCAAAGAACTCCCGAGGGGTATTCCTGGGAATTCTTAGTTTTATTTTATTTTATTTTATTAGCTTCGCCTGTTACTGAACAATGAATAATAAATAAATACTTAATAGGCAGGTGTGCCACAACAGCGGTGAGCCAATTACAGTGGTCCCACAGCTTAAAAGATATGTAAGAAACAGTAGTGGGGGTGTGTCGCCCCGTTCTCCAAATCCTGACCTATTTCAGACCAAAAAATGTCATTTTTCACACCCGTTTTTAGACCTGACCTTTAAAATCCGTTCCCTATTTTCAGACCAAAATGGGCAAAGTGTATACCCGTTTTCAGACCAAAAAGTCCCAAAATTTATACCCTTTGAGGCGGCACATACCTATATGGCTTATATAGGGGGGTACCCCACCGGGAAAGAACCGTTCCCTGAGGTCAGGTTGGCTGAGAACGAGTACCCCAGTAATGCAACCCGACAGACCACGATAAAGAATCGTAAAGAATATGAACATAATTTTAAGGTTATGAATAAATGAATGAATGAATGAATGAATGAATGAAGAGTCGTGGATGAAAGGACAACAGACGTGCCCTCTTTCCAATGCATTTTTAACATGAGAACAGTAAGCTCGGACGCCAACATACAAAGGCGCCACTGGCAGCCGCTCTCAGTCCATTTATGAGCTTACTGTACCCACCCAAACCATGATGTGAATGATGTGATGTTTGAAGGCTGACCACAACACCGGGGTCTACGTCCCCTACTCTTTTCGAACAGTGTTGTGGGTTCTTTTACGTCCCACAAGAACCAGACAAGTGTAAGTGCTGTGAGACCGGACCTACGGTTTTTCGTCCTTATCCGAGAACAATGGAAAGTCTAACCGTTTGCAGATGTCATTACAAAGGCAACACTTTCTTCTCATTTTATTTAAAGACCCTGAGTGTTGGTCCGGCCGGGGTTCGAGCCCGTGACCTCCCGCTCAGCAGACCGGCGCTCTCCCAACTGAGCCAACCAGGCGGCGGTGTTCACACCATACAGGATAGCTTTTTGTGCCAACACGAAAAGGTTTCTACAGTCTCAGTCAAAATGGTTAGGACACTTTGGGGTCTCCCTGTCCCCTCAATGTTGGTGTACAAGATTTGGTGACCAAACCGCGATAAACAACTTTGAGAGGGACAAGGGAAGCACGAGAACGAAAAAAACAGCGTTTGGTTAAAGTGTCCCAACTATTTTGTCTGAGACTGTAGTATTGTATCAACAGCAAGGGCACCGAACTGGAACAAATCGTTCACGCACATCAAACGTCGTGCCTTACCGGTTGACCGAGAGGGTTTGGTGAACTAAATCCTCGATGCTCACTGAATATTTCATTCCGTCTCAGCTGGTCCCAGTCCTCTTTCCTAGTTTACACTACACCGAAGTGTGGCACAGTAAAAATCCGATATGTGACGCTCCACATCCTTCCATCCACCTTCATCCAAGTCATTCTTAAACAATGGACCTCTTTAGCTTGTATAGAGTGTTTTCACATGACGTCACGGCGGCCATATTGGTGTCCCAAAACAATGAAACGGCGGCCATGTTGGTGTCCCAAACCAATCCTGTGGGAGTTGAACTCTTTTCTTATGCAAACGCTTTCTTTTNTTGTATAGAGTGTTTTCACATGACGTCACGGCGGCCATATTGGTGTCCCAAAACAATGAAACGGCGGCCATGTTGGTGTCCCAAACCAATCCTGTGGGAGTTGAACTCTTTTCTTA